GTTGGGTTAATGGATACTAAGTACTCAGTTTTAACACCTGAAAGAAAATTAATCATTCAAATACATGCCCTTAGTTTAGAAATTCCTATTCGTCTAGGTGAATGTTCTAAAACAATTATGCAGGCTCTAAACCTAGCTAGATATGGGGAGAATCCAATTAAAGAGCCCTACTAAAACCTGCTTGGGAAAAAAAAACCCACTTGCCTCATTCTCATTTCAGCCAACATGTATAAAGCATCTTATTCTATCCTTAGGACTGGGCTGAGTACACTAGAAAATACAAGGAAACACAATGGACTCTGCTTGACCTTGAGAAACAACACCGCCTGGGGGAAAAATGCAGAGAGAAGAGGAGAGACGCTAGAATTCTGGCTTTGCCACTGAGTGGCCACATGACTGTGAGTCCTAGCTGTTTCCAGTGTTAAAATGGGCTTAACATTTTACCAGGTGTCCTAGAACAATCTGAAAATAAACTATGATAAAAGAGAAAAATACTCTGGAACTTCTAAAAAATCACTATATGTAAGATACAATAAATCATATTCATGACACAACTAGTAAACAGCAGGAAACATAGAAGTATACTAAGTATCATAATATAATACAGAATTTCTTAAAGTTAGTTAAACACAACTCTAACACAGTTCAACATCTGTGAGATGTTTGTAGATGTTCCTCAAAAAAAAAAAAAAAGAGCCCCGTGGTCAAGTAAGTATAGGGGACACAGGGCTTAATGATTTTTCTATTATTAGTACTACCATTAAGAGTAGCTAACATTTAGTTAGGCAGTCATAGTGCTGTGCCTTTTCTATGCAACATCTCATTTAACCTCACAACAACCTTATGAGATATTATCTCCATTTTACACATGGGCAAACTGAGGCAGAAGACATTATGTAACTTTCCCCAGGTCACACAGCTAGAGGTAGATGCAGGATACACTTAACCATAACACATATTGTTCTCTACTTTCTCAAGGTTTCTGAAATTCACTGTGAATCTCTTAGAGGGGGACAGAATATGTGTGTTTCCTGAATTTGGGTTTTTTTTTGGAGCAACATGAAGCATTTTGGGAAATGGAGCAATAATGAAAGTGCACTCATTTTCTTTTCCTAAATTATTCTTCTTCCTAGGCATAAGGTCTACTTTAGTCTAAAGTATTTCCTTTATAATCCATTTCGCCCAAATTAGTAATCCAAGAAATACCAACTTAAAATTACCTGCCTAGGTCATTATCATAATACAGAGAATAACTCAGCAGGGGACTATGCACAGCATCCACAATACCACTTGGTTTAACTGTTTGGGCCCAGAATTTCATACTGTATAACTGGGGGGATATCCAGGCTTAAAGGGCAAAAATGTGATCAACTATTAAATAATATACATTGCAGTTACACATGATGTCCTATCCCTTGAAATTCACAACATCCCATCAAGTAAAGCAAATAAGAAAGAAATATTAAACTTTTGCTTTGCATTTATTAGCTTTATTATACTTTATAAGAAAAAAATTAAATAGGCCCATCAGGCATTTTTGTTACCAATGAGTGGATTTTCCAATATTTTCTTCATCTAGTTTATGTAGCATAGCCTATAATGTAATCATTTTGTTTGAAAAAAATCACAATTTTTATAGTCAACACCATTAAGGTAAATAAACTTAGTGTAGGATAAAGTCAATCATAACACATCAGACAGTTTTATAGAGACTTTAGTAAAGTGGATTCTCATTTCTTGATGATTATACCATTTTTTTTGAGTGTGCTGAACTAAAAGCCACGGATATAAGAACAATATAACTGAAGCCCAGGCAGAAATGGAGACCAATATGAATGACAAGTGGTTATGCAATTTGGTTATCTTTACGTTCTCTCCTTTTAAGAATCACCTAAACAATAAGATCAATGAAATGTCTTCTTTGTATAAGAAATATACTATGTAAAATAAAGCCCTAAAATGATCATGTTACTGCCACTCACCCTCTAAAAACAACCACTGTCAAAAACATATTAAATCTTACAACATGCAGGGCACCTGGGTTGCTCAGTCAGTTGAGTGTCCAACTCTTGAATTCAGTTCAGGTCAAGATCTCAGAGTGGTGGGATCGAGCCCCAGGTTGGGCTCAGCGCTCAGTGGAGAGTCTGCTTAGGGATACTCTCTGTCCCTCTCTCTCTGCCCCTCCCCCTGCTTGTGTGTGAGCACACATGCACACTCTTTCTCTCAAATAAATAAATCTTTTTTAAAAAATAAAAAGTTAAAACTCTTCCAACAATCATACTGAGCACTAGCAATGGTAGATAAATGAGATCAGGATAAGTTGCATGTTAACACAGCATTCCAGCAGTTAAAGAACTTGTGCTAAAGATGTGTAAGATAATGTGGCCCTGATGAAAGGAGAACTTCTAGCCATGCTTCTTAGCTAAAAACAAGAACAAGGCAAACAGGGAGTTACTGTTTAATGGGCACAGGTTTCAGATTTGCAAGATGAAAAGAGTTCTGGAGATGGACGGTGTTGAAGGTTGCATAACAGTATGAATGTGCCTAATGCCACTGAACTGAAGGCTTAAAAATAGTGAAGATACTAAATTTTATGTTAAATGTTTCTCACCATAATTAAACAAATAATAAAACATTAACATGATCTAGGGCGCCTGGGTGGTGCAGTCGGTTAAGTGTCTGACTCTTGGTTTGGGCTCACGTCATGATTTCAGGGTCGTGAGATTGAGCCCTACATCGGGCTCCACACTCAGCGCAGAGACTGCTTTTTTTTTTTTTTTTCAGAGTCCGCTTAAGACTCTCTCTCCCTCTCCCTCTACCCCGCCCCCCCCGCTCTCTCTCTCTAAAATAAATAAACCTTTAAAAAGACAAACAGAAAAAACATTAACATGATTTTATGCTGTAATTTTTCCTTGGTAGATGGGCATTTTATTTCTATTTCTCTGCAACCTCCCCTTTTTGTTATTAACCTACGTTTTAAAAGAAAAGATTAAAATCTTAACATCTGGGATATTATTTCTAATAAAAATCATCTGCTGGAGTTTGGTGGTCTTATGTTTCCCCCCTGCTAGAATAAACCAGGACAGTAAATTCACAAAAGGACTTCAATTTAAAAATATGAACATGCTTGAGAGTTAAACATCTGGTTAAACAGAACACATGAATCGGCTAGGCGTCTAAAGAAATGATTTTGGATTCCATCTGAAGTCAATAAAAGGAATCCAGAGAGTTGAAGAGTTGCTAGAAATCTTTCCTGTTTTATTATATCTGGCTATAAGCATAAAAGCATTAGTAAAAGCAAGGTTGAGGCTTTGAAAATTGCTCCCTCACAGGGAACTCAAGAGAAATTGCAAATCAGAGTATGCAGGTTCCTTCTTCTTTCCTTTCAAAGGGCACCTGAACCCAAGAACCTTCAGAACAGGGTAAAAATTCAAGTCAGATAAGAGTAAGAAGGAGAAGAGTAAGATGAAGAAATGTTTTTTATGCAGTACTGGCACTGCTTGGGAAGGAATGCTAGTATATCCAGGGAAAGACAAGAGTGACTCAAACCCATCCGATGTATTAGGCATAAGAACATTTTAAGGGCATGGCCTAAGGAATATGTAAGCAATATGCTGTTATTTAATTCTCTGAATTATCACAGTGGAAGCACTTAACTTTAAGACCAACTACTCACAGTACCCAGACACGAGAGAGGGAACACAAACAGGGGAAGTGGGAGAGGGAGAAGCAGGCTTCCCATGGAGCAGGGAGCCCGATGCAGGGCTCGATCCCAGGACCCTGGGATCACAACCCGAGCCGAAGGCAGACACTTAACGACTGAGCCACCCAGGCGCCCCTGAACGTAAGTTCTTAAAGGACTAGACTCAGGAGAACAGACTCACATCCTGGCTCTACCTGCAGAGAAGACTGAAGCCCTGAGTGGGTGAATGGGTCAGCTGACTGAGAAGAAGCTTCTAACCCCGAGAAACCTAATTCTATGCCAAGCCTGCATCTGTGTGTGGAAGATGTTCTGGGATTTTAGGATGTGACCCTTCATGGTCACAGGGCAATAGGGCAATTTTTATCTATAGTCATGTGGTTAGCAAACACTTAAACTTCTAAGAACATTAGTAACCAATTATAAATTGTTTCACAACTTTGAAGATATGTATTAATATCAAAATTAAAACATCTAAGGTAAAAACACAATCATAATGTGATGCAGAGTTAGTGTATATGTGGAAAACAGCTCTCTGGAGGAAAGCTTTATTATTCCCTCAGGGCTTTCTTACAGAGTATGGATTTTTTAATTCCTAGTGGAATATTTTTCATACACCATTGCAGACTATTAAGTACCAGATATTACATTATGTAGTTTAAACTTTGCACTACTGCATGAGAAAGACTTCCCTGTCGAGAGAACTATTTTTTACGGTTACCATTTTTTAATATGAAAATGAACACTCCTTTAGGGTAAGATCACTGCTACTGGAATTTGGGAGAATTTTATAACTTAACATATTCATCAATGTGTAGAAATTCTCTCAGGGGACTCGGGTGAGGAGAGAAGGAAATACAAGAGGAAGAAGGCTTGTTAATAACTTATGGTGTCAACACAGGGCAAAGCAATGGTATCTATAAGGGCTGTCTTCCACTGGGCGCAGCTGTAAAAGGGCAGGGGACTAGCACAGGGTGCCAGCAAGTTTAAAAAAAAAAAATGGTGTGAAAGAGTGAAGGAAAAAAATGCATTAAACTTCAGGCCAGTTAAAGGTACGCTTGCTAATGGTGGACTATTAACTGCTCACCCAGGAGAGATGCAGGCGCAGAAATATTAAAAAGGCAATATAAATGCACTTTTCCAAGCAATTCCTGAGAAAATAGATGCCTTGCAGAATTTTGGAGTCAAAAGTGGAAATAAAATCTAAGTGCTGGTCATTTAAAAATCTTTGCCACGGAGAACTTGAGTACTCACATTTGGCTAAAGTGGATAGAAAGTTTAAATGAAATCGACTACTCACTTGTAGACTGTGCCTCCGTTGCCATGGCCAAGAGTGTCTCGATACCGTATGTCTTGTTCATTCATCTCCACGAGAAAGGAAGAAAAACAAAAAGGGTGTCATGCTGTGGATGGAAATGTCAAGGAAAAGCAACTCTGGGCCATAAACAACAAGCAGTCTGGGTCATTTCAAGTTCAGCTGCAAGAACGAGAAGATCAATACAACATTTGCTGTCCAATTTATAAAAGACGATACCAAGGGACAAAGTGATGGAAAGTTTAATGACAATTTGTTTGCCTGGGTCATTTCATTAAAGTTTGATAAAAGGTGTCAAAATGGAATGATATAACATAGCTCAAAAGGGTCAGGTCAGAGATACTGATAAGAACACAGTCTCCAGTACTACACATAACCAATGCCAAATAGCACTGCACATAACCAAAGTCAAACTTGGGAAGACAACACACACACACACACACACACACGCCCGGTAATCTAATGCACAATCTGTAAATAAATCAGTCAGGTGACCCCATAGCTAACATTAAACAAACTAACTGAATAATGTTAATGATTTTCCTAAAGGAGATACAGCTTTTCTTTGGAAACAGTAAATTAGTATACAGCGGTAACTGGGTAGAAATAATATTATGCTGATGGAAAAGTGCCAAATGAGTGCACTTTCAAATGCACACACAAATATCGTAATGCATAAAGGGAAAACATATAAGCATGTGATTCCTATAAACTAAAGTCATTTTCATAATTTAATATGTTAAACAGCATGCACATTTTCCCCGGTTCTGTAAAACTATTACACCACAAATACTACTCTCGTTTGTATCATGAATAGGAGTCAATTATTTTAGTGCCCACAAAATAATGTTTTAGAGTTTTAAAGAACTCCCTAAATTATTTATCAAATGACTTTAAGACCAGTCAGATTACATTTGATGCATTCAGTAATTTTCTACACACTGGTCCAGTTGCTTAAAAATTAACTGCCAACTTTATTCACTAAATGGATTCAATAAAAGTGTTATTTTCCATATAGCTAAAGCTTGGGAAAAGCCATAGTAAGCCGTGGGAAAAAAAAAATCAATTTCCAGGGAATTGCACTGCCTTGCATGGGCAGAAAATGGATGGAGTTTTTAATTCAATATCACCTGGAAAAAAATAGTTTGCTTTCAGACCATTATAGTAAAGCTTTAAATATTTTGCTCTAAACATCCACCAATTGAATAAAGCAAGCCTCCATTTATCAAGGGAAATATTTTTCTTCTATACATTTCTGAGGTTGAAGCTTCAGAGAGCTGTGATAATTAGGAGTACAGCGCAGGTACCAGAAACAGCTTCCTTTCCAAGCCGTTCTGCCAAGCCCTAAAAGAATATTGACAGATTAATGTGTAAAGGCCAATTCAACACCCAATTTAATTGTAGTACAACCTGATTGATGCAATTTGCAATCAGCTAATTACTGTATTTAGGGTCAGAGGTAAAATGATAGACAAGTCAGAAAAACTGGCAACTATTTTCCTCTTTGAGGGAAATTTTGTTCTTCATTACCTTTATATTACTAATGCAGAAAAAAGAAACCATATTTTAACCTATATAAAAGATGGAGCATGAAGAAAAGAAAACTTCATTACTCTGGACCAAATAATAAATTTTAAAACAGCAGGAAGAAGAGCAGCATACGAAATAACTTGAGATGCTAAGGTAGCAGAGCTGTTACTGGGTTTACTTGGATTGATGGGTATGAAGGACACACATGTAAATTGCAGTATCCATTTGCCAGTACGAATAGGCTAATTCCTTCAAAGCATTTCTCAAGGCAGTCTGAACAGCACTCTAAACCTCATTTGTACCATTAGCTTGCCTAACAAGCTGCACCCTTATTAGGGCCCAAAGTAAATTTCTAGGAGAACAAACCTCAAAGAGTATATATAGGATTGAGGCTCTAGAAGGACCACACTCTGAGACTGCACCCCTTCCACCACACCATCAGGGCCTTCCAGATAAAAGAACCAGTAGTTTCCTCTCAGAAAAATAGACACGCCGAGACATATTGTTATTACACATTCCAATAGCACACTGGGATGGACCTAGGCCTTTGCAGGAAGTTGGAGGAAGAGAAGGCAAAGGACTAGGTATGGCATGTCTCTGAGCAGCTTCAACCATTATAATCCTGACATTGTAGTTTTTTTTTTTTTTTTTTTACCTCTAATACCCAGGAGGTTGAGAAGTGCAGCAGCCATCCACCCCACATCCCCAGCATTCCAACCTGACCAGGAGTGGTAGGCATCCAACAGGGAACAGGTTGAGAGAGGTTGTATATTGTGTGTCTGTGTGTGTGTGTGTGTGTGCACGCGCGAGCACATCCATGTGCATATGCTAAGCACTGGGTAAGCGAATTCAAGGATAGAAATTTGGACTCCCTCAGACAATAAGACTGTAAGAGCCTCATAAAGATAAAAGTGGTTTTGGAGTGAAAATTCTAAAACCATCTCACTTAAAAAGACAGTATCCATAAAAAGGGAGTTAAAGTGTTTCTACAATGTTTTAAAGTTTTATAGACCTTTGTCTGGCCTATGAAGTGACTGATAGATTTTTATATTAAAAAAATCAGATTCTTTTCCTTTTTGCTCATTTGGATTTTCTAATTTTTATATAGTATGCAAATATTATTCACGTAAAAAAACATTTAAAAGGAAAACCATCAGAACCAAGCTCTTGAATGGATTACAACCAACCTTTTGAGAATCTCAAATCTCCAATCAAAATGGGTTACTTTAATTGATTTTAACTATGAAAAAATCACTAACAGGATCAACTAACAGGTGAAAACATTGTTGCCTTTTTTCTTTAGATAAGCATATTAATTCAACTTTTCTAAATGAAGCACAGAGTGTTCATTTTGATACAAAAGTGGGATTTATATGCCTACAGCATACAATATTTAAATATTACAGTTGGGATCAAGTATCACAAAAATCACAGAACTGTACAGCATTTCAAATGCACAGCCCAACTAGGTCACAAAACTAGTCAGTAACAACTAGTCAAGGTTAGAACTCAGTCCTTCAGTATTCTCTGCTCAGTGCCGTATCTTAGCAGCTGATGTTCTGGCTAAGTATGGAGGGACATTCTCTCCCATCAGGCTCACTGGCCCACAGGAAGGAAAATAACCAACGGAAGGGCACTAACAAGTTAAAAGCAATTTCATTAGCTGCGGTTTTTGTTTTTAAAAAGAGAAATGTTTCAAAGATCACATAGCTCTTTATAGAGAAAAGAGGTGCAATAACATTTTTATTCAATAGAGATACTGAATTATTTTTAAATATAGCTATTTCCTTGTTTTGACTAAAAAAAAAAAAAAAACAAATAAGGGGCGCCTGGGTGGCTCAGTTGTTAAGCATCTGCCTTCGGCTCAGGTCATGATCCCAGGGTCCTGGGATCGAGCCCTGCATCGGGCTCCTTGCTCAGCCAGGAGCCTGCTTCTCCCTCTCCCACTCCCCCTGCTTGTGTTCCCTCTCTCACTGTGTCTCTCTGTCAAATAAATAAAATCTTAAAAAAAAAAAAAAGCAAATAAAAGGCAGAATATTAGATGTCAGAGAAGAAAAAGAAAAAGCCATTAGAGTTACAATTACATGTCAAATGAAAGACAGCAAATGACCTGGGAGAAATGACAGGCACTGGGGCTCTGCTCCTGCTGAAGGAGAGTCAGGGGCTGGGAAAGAAACATGGACTAGACAGGACAACCCACGGGTCATGTCCATGTGGGTAGGTAGGGGAGAGGGTCATGCAGTGTGGACTTCCATACAGTCTCATTTATGTTTTAGTCTTCATATGGGATGGAAGATGAACCATAAGAATCTAAGAGTTTTATATAGTGATCTTAATACAGCTTTTAAAGCTAATTTTACAGTAGAATTCCTATTTTTCCACCTCCTCCTTTTTTTTTGGACCACAAAAAGTTTTCCTAAAGGCATCTGAAGTTCTCAAAATAACCAAACATGCAGCAGGATCAGAATTAGTTCTAGGATCTGTGGCTTCTCAGTACATTTAATACTTGATTTATCGGGAATAGGAAAACAGTGTTACAAAATCTAAAACACAAAAAGAGGGAAAACAACTTCAGAGATGCAAAGGTCAAAGTCATTCATCCTTGGAGTAACTGTGTACTTTTTTAATCCTTTAAATTGACCCACTGGGCCATTTCTAATCAGTTTCAAATCAAGGGCCAATGTTAAAGAGATGATACTGTACTAAAACTGAAGTGGGAAAAACACATCACAAAAACACACCAGTGGCACTGATTTATAGCTCTCAATGAAACATGCCTAAAATAGCTTATGATTTGGCTTTTTTTAAGCTAGAAAAAAAGGAATCTTCCATCATTAAGTGGTAAAAGAAAACAATGTCTCCATTCCAAGGACTAAATGTTAAACTTTAAAACGTGCTTGATTTAATATAATAGTAATGAAATTAATGGGAAAAATGAAATGGAATTCAATTATGGATCAGCAAAGAAAATATTCTTTGTTTACTGCCTGCCTTTGTTAAGAAGAATCAGTACCTATCGCTTATAAATCATTAAAATAAAAATGCTCAATTAATCCTTATTTTATATGGAAAGGTCTGACAGAAACTAGTCCTATCACTAGACCTTTGCTTCACAAATCGAAGCAATAATGGTTTCAGAAAGCAGTCACACTCAATGAGCAGACAATTGGAGAGATTTAGTAAATCCCACTTTATAGAGCAGAGACTAATCGGAAAACACAAGCCAGTCAAATGTTTCTTATGAACTGTTGACACTATATCAATGCTGAATCAATTGGTGGCATTTACTCTGAGTGACAGAAAAGAAATAAATATTTATATCACATAACCTATATCAATGAACCCAGGCAGAAAGCTATTTCTAACCTGTCAATATTTGATTATCTTGAAGAATCATGTCCCTTTCTTTTAATGATTAATATGAATTCCTTATTAAATCTAAGTGGAGGATAGTGGAAAGGCAAATCATTATTAATGCTTGAGAGCATAAACCACTAAAATAAAAAACTATGCTCAAGTGTTAAAGTATCGTTAAATGTGACTTACATCTTCCATATCAAGTGGTGTCCGTGTTCAGCCCAGAAATTTGACACCACAGCTGTGCACATTACCTCACTGCAGAGTGATCTTGCTCACTCTTTAGTTACCCTATAGCACCACGGAACTGAGAAATTAGTACAAGGAGGAGGTATTATGAGGACTTCCAAAGGTGGGTTTTTCTGTTTTGTTTGTTCTTGTGAATGAAAGTAAATACAATGAAGGCTGCTCCTTGACAGAAAGAAAATGTCACACTGTTTAACATAGGGGTTATCCCATTCCCAAGGGAAAACAATAAACTATCTTTAAGTGTCAAAAATCATTGTTGTGACAATCTTCCACCACCGAGAACCTCATAACTGAGACCACTACGATATTTGTGGTACTAGGTCTGTTGTCAAAACATTAGGAACATTTCAGAACGCTTATTTTTTTGCACTAGAAATAAACTGTTTTTCATCTTTGAAAGAGGAATCTATGACAGGTTATTTTCCATTGCCTGGGCTGAACAAATGTAGTTAAAGCTTCTTAATTTATGTCAATTTTGAAATATATTTTCCAGCTAAAGAAAGCAAGTGACTCATACATAAGTTACAATTAGTAACTAGAATGCAAACATGCTGAAGAGACATAAACATCCCAGGCTCAATGTTTCTGCTTTTCGTCAGGTTTTGTCTCATACTGGCTCTGAACACGTTCGGGGCACTAGAGGCATTTGTGGACCTCAATCCAAAGAAACCTCTGGCTGCTTAAAGTCAAAAGTATTAGGTAAACACTCTCTAAAATTTTGAGGCCGTCAAGATTACACATACAATACCAGGTTCTCATTAGCTACAAACAGAATATCTAAGGACTAGAATTCACACACTCTGGATGACGATCAGATGTCAGAACCAGATCAACTTATTTTTTCCAACTGTATTCAAGCGACTGTGTGCTAAAGAAGCAGGGCTTCAAGAAGCACTACCCACCAGTCACCACTGTAAGGCATGCACATCTATTAGGCCACAAAGTTACAGGTGATATTAAAGGACAAGCACAAGGACCCAGCTTTGTCTTCTTGATGGGCTCCGCTACAAGTACTTGATTCATGAAATGCCAATGAGCCTTGGAGAGGTCAGCGTGTGAAGGCACTGAATAAGCATCTGAGATAATTAAGATTTCAGCCTTCGAAACATGGACGGGAAGTGAACAGCAGTTAAGAAAATCAATAAGAGTCTTTTATTTGCAGTGACACAGATGTCTCAGTCAATAGAGCCTAATAGGCAGGCTTGATCGCAACGGACAGGCGCCTGCCTCCAAGGCTATCAAAGGGCTTCCTCTATAACAAACATTAAAACGCATTTATGTTGCTATTGAAGAATCGAGGACCCTGTAGGTAGCTTAATTTGCCAGTGTATGTTTAAAAGCACTATACTATTTCAGATGTGTCCATTTACTTGAATCAAAATTAGTGAGAAATACGTGGCCTGCAGTCCCGTCTGTCCCTCTCTGGCTGGGGTAGGTCATTTGGCTTTAGAGGGCCAGTTGACCGGGCAAACCAAACCAAGGGCTTCTCAAGCCAAGGAATTTTAAATGCCAAAGGTCGGCTGTTACTCTGTTTCCCTAAAAAGCCAGCGTTCCTTTCGGGACAAAAGAAGGAGCCGAGGTAAGAAAGGAACAGTTTTTCCTCTTCTCCTCAAAGATAATGAAAGCAGCAGACATCTCCCGAAGCAGGGCCATTTCGACAACCCATGGGTTGACACACTTGTTCAGAACTGATTAACTTTTTTTAGACTGAGATGGCAGCAGGGTGTGTGCCTGGTACTTCAATCTGCTGGGAGTGAAACCCATTAGCACAGTTTGAAAAACGTGCTGCAAATTGTTCTGCCAATCAAATTAAGCCACTGTAATTCATTTATGACAGGGACACGTTCGCGGGCTCTTTATCTGTTTATTAAGTTTATGGATACAAAAACTGGACAGCAACAAGTTACTGCTACGTGAAAATCTTAATATGTAATGACACCTACCTGGCCATTGGCTAATATTTTTTTCAGTTCAGCAGAAGACTTCTTTAAGCTGAAAAGGGAAGACATGATTTTTAATGGCAAGATCATGGACACCTTGGAACACCATTCAGAATTTTGCACTAAAATATGCCTTTGTTTTAGGTGTAGACATGGACTACACTCTTTACAACCTTCCTTCTATATAAAATTTTTTCCAAAGTAACTGGCCTGATGGAAAAGGTATTAATAAAATCCTGAAACCCTAAAGCAACAAAGAAGCCTACAGTCACCATGAAGCAGACTACCTTATGGATTACTTCAGTGACCTTTTTTTGGCTATTAGTCCTGCTGCCTTTGGGTAGCCTTTCAGTGGCTATTTTATGTGGACTCTGTCATCTGCTAAATACAAAGTACTTAATGATGCATTCTTTGGATGTTTACAGAAACAAGAAAGGAGAACTTCAAAAGATAAAACAGATAGTTTAAGTCCTGATCTTTTACTACAGTTAAGAGTTATAATTCAGCTTGCTGAGAAGCAAATGTGCAGCAGAAATCAATTCTGGGACTCACTAGCTGTGTGAACTGGGACAAGTCCGTTACTCATCCTCTCTGAACTGCAATGTAAAATGGGGGAAATATCAACTTTATAGGGTAATCAAGAAAATTAAATATTACAAAAAGCTCATGCACATAGTAGATACTAAATAAATTTCAGCTGCCTTCTCTTTCCTTTTCTGTTCTATAAGTGGGAGAGCCGGCTTCCACAGTTATTTAAGAAATATGAAAATGTTCTTCTCTGGACATATATGGCTATGTAAACACCTATGGAAAAGTGGCCAGGGGAAGCTCTGAAGCCCTTCTAGCTTTAAAATGAGTTAGACCCGAAGATATCCACCCAGTTAGCAGAGTGGTGTACAAAATAGCACCTCATCTCATCAATGTTCTAATTGGAAATTTAAAGCTTGTTAACTCTATTCTTTATCTACTCAAACCCTCTACCCATCTACCAAATTAGCTCTCCTAATTAGTGATCTGTATAGATGCCTTTCTTCCCACCACACCCACCCCTAAGACTGGGAGATCCCCAAGAACATGGACCACATCTTGATCTCCTCTATATATTCCCTTCCCCTCCCATCCTTGAACGTAGCCCAGTGACTTGGCCTGTGCTAAGTGTTCGGTAAATGGTGGTCGTGGTTCTGGTTGTGATTTATCATACAGCAGTCACAGGCACACATACACACACATGCATTTGGTACCTTTAGTAAGTTATAATCAAGAAAGATCTCAGACTTCAAGTTTGACCATACTTGCTATTTCAAGTTATGATTATTCTTCTTTCTAAATACTTCTTAAACTCCTGCTATGGTCAAATGCAAACTATGGAGCCCCAGTCCCTACTTTCTAAAGATTTTATAAAACATGCCCTCAACCAAGGATTCTAAACTTTTTTTTTTTTAAGATTTTATTTATTTATTTGAGAGCGAGAGAGAGAGAGAGAGAGAGAGAGCATGAGCAGGGTGAGGGGCAGAGGGAGAAGCAGACCCCTTGCTGAGGAGGGAGCCTGACTCAGGGCTTGATCCCAGGACTCCGGGATCATGGCCCGAGCCGAAGGCAGACACTTAACCCACTGAGCCACCCAGGCACCCCAGGATTCTAAACTTAAATAATGTCCTCCCAAGTTGAAGAATTCATGTACTAAAGTGGCAGTTAAGAATTATGTAGAACAAGGGGCTCCTGGATGGCTCAGTTAGTTAAGCGGCTGCCTTCAGCTAGGGTTCTGATCTCAGGGTCCTGGGATAGAGCCCCATGTAGGGGTCCCTGCTTAGCACGGAGTCTGCTTCTCCCTCTCCCTCTGCCCCTCTCCCCAACTCATTCTCTCTCTTTCTCAAATAAATGAAATCTTAAAAAAAAAAAAAAAAAGAATTTTGTAGAATGAGACTGAAGTAGAAACACATATCAAAAAATAAACTGCCAAAATCAGTCCAGTTAAGAAAATAATAATAGCAGCTATCATTTATTGGATGATACCATGTGCCAGGCATGGTGCTAAATGCTATTACTTATTTTCCTGATTTAATCCTCACAGTAACTATAGTCCTGTGGGAATAATTTATTAAGGAAACTTAGGTTCAGACCTCCTCAGTCTGTCTCTCTTACACACACACACACACACACACAGAGTTTTTTCCTTGGAAACATTTAGACCCTTGTATTCCCACAGATGACTCCCAATTTAACAGTTACAATTATTGTAAAAACAGAAATAACCAAACAATGCCCAGGCAAGACTTCTCCACAGATACCCATAACGTCATACAACTTGAAATAATAACATTTTGATTCATTGCATTTACAAAACACCTTTCATCCAAGAAACAAAGTGTGGTTCCTTAATACAGCTTCATCAATCTTCCTAACACTGGAGGTAGATAGATGAAAAGTTTAATCATCCTGATTTTACAGAAGGAGAAAGCCACAATATTTAGGAAAGGCCTTGACTTGGCAGTGGGACTTGAATTCAGTAATTATGGCTTAGCAACACCATGTGGCTTAGTAAGCTCAGTCTAATAAACAATCATCCACCTAAGGCAAAGACCGATTCATACTTTGAGAGTAACCGAGGAGAATGCTGATTTCATTCATTATGCCAACGTCTGACTACCACTTGGTCTCATTAAAAGAAAAATTCTGGGGGTGCCTGGTTGGCTCAATCAGTTAAGCGTCTGCCTTCAGCTCAGGTCATGATCCCAGAATTCTGGGATTGAGCCCTGCGTCAGGCTCCCCACTCAGCAGGGAGTCTGCTTCTCCCTCTGCCCCTCACCCTGCTTGTGCTCTCTCTCTCAAATAAATAAATAAAAAACTTAAAAAAAAAGAAAAGAAAAGAAAAATTCTACCAATTTTCTTTGTTCCTCAGTTTATTCAATATTTTGTTTATTTGTAACGGTCACAGCGACTTGGGCTATCCAAAAATAAAAAAAAACAAAAAACCATTTTAAAATTTAAATGTGATGTTATTGTAAATCTGCTATGACACTTTTCTTTAAGAAGACACTGAGACATCTAAAGAAGAGGAAACGGGTGAGGGGACAAGAAATAATGTATCAGAGAGGCTTGAATGAGTTGGGAGAATTTAAATCAGAGACAAGACTTAGAGGGAATATAAATTTGTTCACCCACTCATTCATTCAAGCATTACTGACTATCTCCTATGTGCCAAGCATCACACTGGGAATTGGGAATTCAATAATGAATATGCTACAGTCACGGCCCTCAGAGTAGAGAATCTATCGGGGACAGAAGCGATTGTAATACAATGTGCTAACTGCCACAGTAAAAGCAGGCACCAGGGGATTAGGGAAATTCATAGAGTAGATACCTGGTATGGACTAGGAGGTGGGCAATCATCAGAAGAAGGTAACAGCTTGGTTCCTCAAAGATGACCAAGGCTGGCCAGACTGGAGATGAAAGAGGGAACAAAAAAAAGGAAGAAAAGCAGGAAGGGCCAGGAGTAAGAGAAAACATGATCCACTGAGGGCACCATGCATTCATCAGCAAAGCTAGAACGTCAGGTAGGAAGGGGCAGAGTGGGCAGGGGGCCTACATGTGAGAGGCTGTTGCTCACCTGCAGCCAAGGTTGCACGCTGTCCTGAAGGTTCTGAGGAGCAATGAGCAGCTGTAAAGGGTAATGTTGGGCTCAGCATGCGTGTCAGCAAGATCGCTGTGGCTGCAGTGTAGAGGAGAGACTGTACAGGGCAAGACTGGAGGGAGGAAACCAGCAGGTGACTGCCACAGTCATCTACAGAGCCTGAACTGCCTCGGCAGCATTGGGGCAGCTTGCCAGTGGATGGACTCCAGTGGGACTCAGAAGGACATACGTAGGAACTGACAGGTGTGGCGCTGAGGGAGGCCCAGGAAGCAGTGAAGAATGCCTGGCAAGTTAGCAACTGGGTGGGTGTGGGAGAATTTGCCAAGACAGGAAATCTACAAGAAGTACGTTTGGAGGGAAGACGACGGGAAGAGCTACCTAGAAGAAGGAACAGCTCTGTTCTTGAGGGCTAAATGAAATCTTTATGAGTGGGCGCTAAAGGGAGACCCATCTCAGCTCATGACAAAGAGTGTTCTAAGACAGTGCTCTGTGAAAATGGACAGGCTGCCATGGCCAATAAAGTGCATTCATGCTGTAAGGGATATTCACGAAGGGCCTGGATGACCATTTGGCAAAGGGTGGGGAATCAAGCACCAAAACAGCAGGATTAGATGGGTGCTTCTCTGACTCGTTCCCCACAGCAGAGGGTCTTTTATAAACACAGCTGGCCACGGCACTCTCCTGAAAGCCATCTGATAGTTCACCAATGCCAATACGCCAAGAGGAAAACTCAAACAACAAGGCCCTGCCGATCTGACTGGTCTACCTCCTTCTCTCCTGTCACTCCAATGGTCTCCTCCCCTCTCTCCACACCCCCCAAACCAGCACCCTTCCCTGGGGTCCAGCCAGACTGGCCTACTTATGAACATGCTGAGCTCCTTTTCCACCACAGGGCCTTCCGTGATGCTCTCCCCTTCCTCTGAAATGCCCTTCGCTGGCTCTTGACATGGCTAGGCCCTTCCCACGCTTCAGGCCTTGACAGAATGTCACTCTCCTCCCAAGAAGTCTTCCCTGAGCATGCTGTCCAAATCTAAACATATTCCTGCCCAGTGTTCTCTCCCTTCAAAACCTGCTTGCTTCCCTCATAACACTAATTATAAAGTGTGATTGTTTGTATATTGGTTTGTTTTGTTTTGTTTTTCTGTATGTCCATTAGATAGCAAGCTCTAGAGGATAAGAACCACATTGTATTTCTAGTGCATAGAACAGCACCTACTGAATAGGTAGCACTCAATAAATACTTTTGATTAGTTATCAACATGGGACACAGAACATGGCCAACCTAGGGTGGCATATTAAAATCTATGGTAGGTCTCTTTCAAACTGAACTCCTCCCATAACAGAAGTCACTACTGGAGGAAACCACCATCACTAGCTGGCAGGCTGTCACTTCCCTAAGGAAAGACGCTGCAACAAAAGGTTAAGAACCACTAGATCAGACAGTCTTCAAATTTCTATCCAACCCAAAAATTTTATGATACTCTGTGAATATACACAGCAATTCTTTAAAAACCAAACTAATTTATTCATGCTATTAAAACTAAATCTCAGAGAACTGAAAAGTTATCCTTGCCCCTTCTCTGCCTTACCATTTTTTTCACCTCTATCCTCCTTTTAAACCACGATGAAATGGGACCTAAAATACCAGAGAAGCGCTCAGGATGAGTCTGTCTGAGTAACAACTTTTCTGAAAGTAGTGGTAAAAATTAAATGCCGGGCCTTCCTTGAGCTGAGTGTAACAAGTGACCCCAGCCCAGTGCCTCCACTCTGTGGGGCACGGCTCACAGGCCCAACAAGCGTGAAGAGAGAAGCTGCAAAGTATCACATGGCAGGGCCAAGCCCTAGAATGAGGACTAAGAGACCTACCCCTTGTGCCCACAGGACAGATGAGCCTCCGGTGAACAACCAGGCTAAGTGTATTTTAAGACAGAGTAAATTGCTTAAGAAGGAGACACACTTTAAAAGTCGTGTGTTCACAGCAGGAAAGCTGGTGAGTAGACAGACTGACCCTATAGTAAAGTAATCGAGGAAGTGACTTCTGTGGGGGGAGACAGGAGAGTAAAAAGAGAGTCAGAAGGAGAGACTTTAAATTACCTCCAGGAAAGCCCTCTGGCAAAAGAACCAAGACTCTGGGTTAAGGAGGGGCAGGGAAGGAAGAGAAGAAACCCAAACTACATCTCAGTCAATAAAGGGCAATACTGGTTACAGCCCTAAACCCAGAAAAGCCTGGGCACAGAATGGAAGAGTGGCTCAGTGCTGGCTTTTCAGTCACCAGCATGAATACTCACACACAGAGCATCACCTCCACAGTGTCATCTTCACGTACAGTCATGTGATGTTTACTGGCTGAATAACCTCACGGATAACCAAAATGACCCAGAATGCTATCGGCTTAAGCAGGCCACTCCTTCTACCTGAGGATGTGATAATCTGGAAGTAAGTTCTCAAGCTTGTCAGAGGAACACTTTGAAAAGGCTCTCAAATCTTTAGTACCCCATGCCAGTGTGGGGTACCGTTAGCATGAATTAACGAAGATTATCTTCCTTCTATAAGTAGCTTCAATCTTCGGTATGACCAAAGATATAAGAAGAGCAACATGGTGGGTCAATCTAAATTTCCCTACTTCACTCTTCCCTTGCCTCTTTCCAGTGAACATGTCAGGGGATAACAGTAGTGCCAAAAGATGGGCAAGCAAGAAAAAAATAATGAGCATTATACAATTTATGAACCAGATCAAGGCATGAAAAGCACTGAAGTCAAAGGCACTGAATTTTCTGTATAATTTGGAGACTGAAGGAATACCCATTCCACAGACCAACATTAATAGTTTAAAATGTCTCATTCCATTCTTCCTCAGTGAGGCCTTTTCTCTCTAGTCAACACATAGCTATGGTTACCCAACTGGTCAAATTTCTTCTCAGCCACATACACATTCGCCTGGTCTTACAGAAACGATGGGTCATCCCACAGGCCTCTTCCCCACCCCCACTCTATAGAGAAGCACGCTTACGGGCACACTTCACTAGCTTGCCCTCACCTATTGCTTGGAAGTGAATCAGAGACTGCTGGGCTGCCGTGTTGAGAGGGTCCAGCCCGGGTATTCACCTACAAGGAAAGAAAGAATCTCGATCAGTCTTGTATTCTGAGGACACAGTTCCAATTAACCTATAATTTGCCACAAATTTCTCATTTCACTATGAAGGTTAATTAGCTTGTTGCTAGATAGACCCACGGTTGGAGTCTATTCAGTATATAGGTTACAGAACTGTACAACCCGTATATTACATAATACACTTTTCCTGTCATTATTCAAATACTTAAACAGCATTGAAAAAAGGAGAGCTAAATGGGAAAATTTCAATTCACTGTCCAGAACTGAATTCAATTCACTGTTTTGTTTTGTTTCGTATACAAAACAATATGTCCAAAAAAGAACATTAAGAATAAACAGAGGTTAATGGTGAACCTCAAGTTTTCATATCCTTCCAGCTCTAAAGCCAAACAGAGCACTAGAATGTTTCTTATTCACCGAAAAACGAGGTCCAAATAATTAATTATAAAATGCTTGAATCTAAATACAATAGCTTTTCTTTCAAATGTAAAGCTATAAGCAGAAATCCAGAATTCAAAAGACACAGAACAATGAAAAGTAGATAAATAGATATGTTTCTGGCATAAATATGTCAAAAGAAGAGGAGAGTATTCTGTGTGCAATATGCTTATGTGCTTAATCACTGAAATGTAGTCTATATTTTCATCCAAATATATTGTTGCGGACACCAGTACCTAAAATCATCCTGAAGAAACAGACCAACAAAAAATTCCAAATAATAAAAAAATATGGTACCAAAACCCTTCTATCCAAATATGTACATATACTGAGCAAATACTACAGATGAATCCCCCTCCACATCCTGTTTAAAAAAAAAAAAAAAAAAAAGAATCGCTTGTCAGAGCTTGAGAAAGTGCAGTTTTATTTGACATTTCAATAAGTGGAACACAGCATTACAAATCCATCTAACTTTACTGAAACAATTATTGAAATTCGTACCTTCAGGCCATGTATGTTCCGTTCCCCAGGAGGCTTGCAGGCTGAAACAGTAATTGACTAAATTGTAGAACACATCAGGGCCATTTACAAATTTGCTCAAAATGAATCGTTTAAAAAGAAATGAGGGTGACACCAAAATTAGCAGAGAGAAATGATTGAAAAGTGGCTCCCAAGACCCAAAGTGGGAATTATGAACCAGGGTTTTTAACTTGCAGGAGTGAGCATTTATAAATGCAAAGAGCTTTCTGACACTACCTCATATAAATTCCAATTTCTGCTTAAAACATATAAAAATCAAGTTAACAGAGCTAAAATGATTAGATTCCTTTCATAATTCAAATTTCTGCAATCTTTCCTCAACTCTATTACATTGTATATCTGCTATCACTTAAACTACTTTGAAAATATCTAGGTTTTTGGGGGAGAGCGGGTAGTAGGAAAAGAGTATTTTAATGCCAGAAAGATGGTTAGAGATTCTAAACTGGAATATTCAAGTTTGAATACCAGTTTGCACAGCAATAAGTAGTCAAATTTATTAAAATACAGAGATATCACTAATTTTACTATATTTTTTGCAAATCTTGACATCTTCTAATATTTAAGTCTAAAGATAAAGCAGTGCCAGGAAAAATAATATTAATTTCCTGACACCACCCTGAGTTACAGGGTAGTACTTTTCCAATTCAGCAAATGCTTCTTCATCAAATGTTGAAAATACAAATGTTTCCTGCCCATTTTATAGGCTGCTTCCATCTGAAAACTACAGTGCCCTACAGATAGTATGTTAAGTAATTGTGATTGATTGTTTGGGGAAGGACATATTTGACTTTTTTTTCCTCTCTCAGATGTACGTGTATTCTTCCTCTGTTTCTGACAACAAGAAATAAAACTGTTTAATAATGAGAAGATGTGGGTAATAATTACAAGGCATATCAGCTGCTTTAATTTTATATATTTTGAGTATATTCAAATTTATTGTTATTTCCTAGAAAATACCTCTAAACCTTAATAAAGAACTTTTGTTTTTCCTAAAATACATTAAAATTAGGACTCCAAATCTTCTTTCTGTAAAATGGAAATTAACTTTTTGAACAAAACCAAAGTCACATACATTTGATGCCTGGTCCTTGAGGGGCCATTACTTCCTAAGACAACACTTCAGAGTATTTCCACTTAAGTACCCAGTACATTCATAAACTTCATTTAATAAGAAAGTGGCTAACCAAGGAATTAGAGACAGGCATCAACTCTTACCTCTTACCTTAACATCTGCCTCATTACTCAATTGGCTTCTCAAACCTTTATGATTGGAAATCTAAAAAGTATTAAAAAAAACCCAGTAACCTCGTATTTCCTAAAGTTATGGAGCCAGAAGTTACATAAAGCTAGTAAGTTTTCATACTTATTAATACGTAACATATCTTTTAACTACAGAGAGCAAAGCCATGGGCTGGGAGTTACCATCCAAGGCAAATGTCTTACCTGGAATGAGGAGAACATCTGATGTTAGAACAAAATCATTTTCTCCTACCTTTCTCACTTGTTCAGTCTAGAGATTCTTTTCAGCAGGGGACCTGACCAAAGAAACTAAGGTCTGGGAGCCTCTAACCAACCTATTAACCCAGGCAACCTGCCCAATACATCTATATCCTTGTATAAGTTTGCATAATCTCATTTATGTATATAAAATATAGATAAGTAAACAAAAAGCAAGACTACAAAAAACTAAAAAGAGTTATACAGGGGTGCCTGGGTGGTTCAGTCAGTTGAGATTCTGACTCTTGATTTCTGCTCAGGTCATGATCTCAGGGTTGTGAGATCAAGCCCCACATCTGCTCCTCTCCCTCTGCCCCTCCCCCCATTCACACATGCACAAGCACACTCCCACTCTCTCTCACTCTCTCCCTCCCTCTAAAATAAATAAATCTTTAAAAATGAATAAATAAAATAAAAATAGTTTTACAATAACACCCAAGAAACCATAGAGATGGGGGGGCTGAGTCTCATATTTTAAAAAATTCAAATCTGGCTTGGAAGAACTTTATTAATAATTTATTGGAGCCTAATAGGTCTGTTCTAGGACTACATGTGACGATCACATCTCACATACCATCTTCTTTTAAGTATCTTCTCCCTATAATATACCTCTACACTTCTACCAACCCCTCCAGACTACCCCCAAGCACATTTTCATTTATATGCCCTTCCACTTTAAGCAAATTATAATTTAAACAAAATTCTTATTCAAAGTGTATACTAACCACTTATAGGCTGTTGTGGACTCTGAAGTTACTTAACCTCTCTGAACCTGCATATTCTCATCTATACAATGGAATCAATAGGCAGAAATATCAGGAGAATGAGAAATGATAACGTTAAAGCAATATTAATGCCCACAGAGCAGATGTCTAAAACCGGTCGTTACTCCCATGAGAGGCAGCACAATGGTACGGACAAGAAGACTGCAAAGGACTGCTCAGAAAATAAAAGAAAAAAGACAAAATTGGAAAAAATTTTTGGATGAAGAAAAGTAAATCTTTTATTGGGGGAGGGCCACAACCCACAGCATCATAACTATAATTTTCCAGGTCACTTGTATTAGAGTTTGCTACAACAACAGACTTATAATGTCAAGTAGGGAAACAATGAATGGAAATTTTCAGCTGGTAAAAAAAAAAATATTCTTTGTGGAGAAACAATTTTGAAACTTGCCCAAACTCTCCCATCACTGAAGATAACAAGAAATGATCTGCATCCCTTGTTATTGGTCTAATGTATAGAAATGGCAACATTTGCTTTTCTTTTTTTCTTTTTCTATTTTGTTTTTAGTCTTCAGATACAACAAAATTGGATTAATCATAATTTTTGTTTCAGACACACTATCAATGGCCCAATTTTATTTACCTACTTAGCTCTTTGATACATTATTAATAATGTACTAAGTACTCCCAATCCCACTGTCCACCTTAATGCTAGAAAGGCATTACTCTTGAACCCAGACCTTCTTGTGGGCTAGCCGAGTCAGCTGCCCTTGGAGACTTGATTAGTGTAAATAAGAATCTACTGGTTAATTGAGCCACTCAACTTCAGAGAGTTACAGGTAATGAAAGTCTAAACCGTTTAATTGAAAAACCCATACCATGATTATTTGTACAGTATCAGTTAACAAAGGTAAGTTTAACTTTTAATGATTTCAATTAAGTTATTTCTAGACAAGTTACAACATTTCCTTATCTGCTCCATCAGTTAGAAAATATGAATTCCAAGTGTGGCAATGTATAGTGAGGGAAAGACTTAACGGTTTATGTTAAATGGTTGAGTTGTTCTTTTTTACTAATCTTCAAATTTTGAGGGAACATTTATATACAGTTGATCAATCGTATCTGATACAATGCTAGTTCTGCCCACCTAAAAGGGAAAAGGAATATTATTTGACTACGTGATTCACCAAAACTTACCCATAAGCTAATATTTTTGGAGACTTGACAATTCCCATTTATGAAGATTTTCCATTATCTGGAAAATGTCACCTCCAAAAACCAAGCACCAAACATTATCAATTCTCTCCTAAAACCGTGCAGTAAATCTTCGCCTCTGTACCAGCTGAAAGCTTTCTCCTCAACAGCAGCTTTGGCTACCATCATGAGTCACAATTTATAAATATCCAAAATTAAAGTCATTCATTTGCCTTGGTTTAGAAACCATGTGGACCCCCAAAGAGTTCTTTAAGCGAATGTAAGTACGTACTTCAAAAACAAAAAACAATCTAGTTAGTTTAATTTACTCCAGTAAATTAGATATTTTATCTGGTATAGCTATAATGTAGCCTGCAATCCCCACAATCATGGAATACTGCTTTTGTTTTTTCAAATTAAGAGCTAAACATCATGTTATGTGCATTTAAACCTTTGGAAAACATAACTGTTGATGAAACAGTTTACTGAAATAATCATTGTTGATTAGAATTTGTTCAACATTACCTCTTGGAAATATCTGCAGAGGCTCTATTAACTGTCCATTTACTTGCTGTTCCATTACTGTGGAATAATACTGCAAAGAGATTATAGAAAGAGATTACTCAGTAATGTATGAATACTGGAACAGACACTTATGGGTTGTTTAATTCATAGTACTTTTGTAAATTGCTGGTATACACATATCAGCCTCGAGAATACTTTTTCCTATTTGTACATAAAAATGACTATAATGATATATTCAGGATTGAAAGTCCAGTATAATGTTATCCTCCACACTGTCATTTATCTTTAAAAGTAAAAATGTTGATTAAGATTTTAGTATTTAATCTCTAGAAATATTTTGAAAATGACATGTATTAAAAATAACACAAAGCTTTTTAGTGGAAATTTCTCAAATTGCCTCTTGTTCTTTTCTCTGGGTTTTGCAAAGCAAAATGAAAACACTTAACATTTAGCTTGGGCCTATGTGCCAGGTAATAGATCAAACATTATACATATTTGTGTATAAAATGTACAGATAATGGAAATCTAAATCATAGAGACTGTGGAACAAGCAAACAAGATATGATCCATCCAAAGATGACAGGATTAATATGATAAAAAGATAGGTCAGTTTTAAGCAAACATCTTTTATACTTCACTTTTATAAACACGTTAGTATAGAGCAAATTTCATTTTAAAATTCTGGGCACAAAAAATGAAGTTCCAAATGAAAAAGCTTTCATGCTCCTTCATAAACACAAATTCATTCACCAGGTTGTATTATGGTCTGATACCCATTTTTCCTTAATTTGCTAAGTGGCGAACATACGTCCACCTAACCTGGAGATGGCTTCTGTGCCCTCACTTCTTTTAACACTTGACAAACAACAAAGTGATGCTCTTGGTGGAAAAATATCAATGATGAAAACCACCAATTTTGTGTTTTGAGGCACTGTCACACACAGAGCAGAACTCTCCTTTAGTTCCTGCTATTTCAATATTTAAAACACATATTATCTAACTGCCACCTTTCTGGAAATTCTTCCTTGATAATCACTATTTGCCGACATTCCAAAAAAGTCTTTTTTTAGAAGATACAGACATACATCTTCCTAATGCCTTTATGCATATTAAAATTATCACAAAATCAAGGGGTTTTTTTTTTATTTGTTTTTAGAAATAAAGGGGAGCTATGTAATTCTACATCATCTTGGGAATTACAAACTAACAGTCTAAGGCTCTTTGTCCTAAAAACAAATCAAGTGGATTTTTGATAGCTATGGACTGATACAAGTGTACCGCACTCTCCAAGGGCTTCCAAACTGTAAAGGAAACTGATCCTCTCCTTCTATGGACGTAGAAGCCTATATACATATGGCATAAACATGTGTGACACACACTCTGGAATACATACTAAGCCGAATGTCTTTCAGGAGACTATATTCCTTAAAACCACAGAAATACACTGCTCGCCATTACTCAAACAGTGATGACAAGTAAATGAAATATCCATCATGTAGGCTGTCAACCTTTTGGGACAGCAATAACTGTTAACAAGTAGTCTGGAAAAATTGTCCGAAAATGACTTGTCCTCGGCACACAAGTATTGGAGGTTTCCATGGAAAATTAAGATGCCAGTGGCTATTTGGAACATTGCTCAGGTATTCTTTTTAATGGGAAATTTGCCGGTTATTGATCCACAGCATGTACCCCCTTGGTTCTGGAAGGCTGCAAGCAACTTTCCAATCAGTGGCTGTCAAAAAAATTACTGCCTTTTTATACTGATACAAGACAACAGCCGTGGTGGTGTTCTCCTCTAGTTAATGCTTTTCTTTAATTAACTGCTATGTACAAAAGGTTAGTCATTTCAGTTACTACTTCACTACAGTCCTAGAAATCAAAACAAATAAAATATCCCTATGTTTTATCTAACAAATTAATTATAGAGTTGTCTGAAACTGGTGCTTGGGGTCAAGTTTGAAAACAAATAACCTCAAATGTAAAGGGTCAGCACAGGAGCAATGCATTTTTTCCTACTATAAAACCTTGCATGCATGAAATTGACCTGTTTTCCAACTTTATTTATTTACCTCACAAAATAAGTAAGTGTGGTTTCCCTTTCATTTCAGATCTGTGCCAAATCAACTGGCAAACTATATCTGCTTTTATAATCATTGTACAATTTTTTTTAGCCATCTATCACCATCTCTTTATGCTACCATTAACACGGTCACAGTAATGACATTAAGTGTGCCACTTGCCAGTATCTCTAAAGCAAGCAGTTAGCATTTGTCTTTTGCTTTCTACAATTCTTCCAAATCCAAGGGACCTTTTTTTTTCCTGCTGAAATACTGGGCTTGATCTCTGTTTGTATTACCAGAGAATCTTGTGATCCATACAGCAAAGGGTGGTAATTAATAAACCCATGGCTTGGGCCCACTCTAGGCAAGTGGCTCTGACGAGCAGGCTGTGTGCGGGCCGGCTGGCTGCCAACGAGGCACCAGACCCAGGAGCTCAGGCTGCGGCATATGTAGCGCTCTCTGTGGAGTAGGGATACAGCGTGAGGCCACGCAGCCTTCCTGGCACACAGCAGTCCTGACAGGCCACAGGCCTGTATCACCCAGTGAGACAAGCAAGGAACGTGGGGAGTTAGAGGAAGGACCTCAGTGCGGGGGCCCGAGCACTGGCCGTTCCGCAGCACACAAGCTCAGCGAGGAACCCCTGGCTGCCCCTCGGGTTACTCCTGTAAAATGAAGATGCTACACAGCCAGAGGAGCACCATGAGACTCACGGGAGGGACAGAAGTGAGCCCCGAAGCTGCAGAGCAAGCTGTTTCTAGATCCCTGTAGTCTCTCAGTGTTTTTAGAAATTCTCTCTTTAAAGAGAGTCTTTCCAATTTTGTCCTAAATAGTGATAAAATAAGCAATAATGACTTCCACTAGCCCAAAACAAACTGGAGAAAACAAACAAAAACCTCAATCTTGTATGCCAAGATACTTAACACGGCTTGGACAGAAAAGTGACCAAGTGACCATGATAAATTAATGGGGCCATAATTTGAAGCTATCCAAATAATTGCCCAAACGCAATCTCAATAATCCTATCCCGGCTTTTATTATCCCTAACATGGAGCCCTGCACACAGTAGGTGTTCCATAAATATTTACTGACTGAAATGGGGCCTAATTCTGATTCTGCTACCTATTACGTAGTCACTGAACTTCACCGAGCCCAGTTTCCTCCAAATGAGAGTAAAGCTAGCTAGTCTATTACATAGGGTTGCCGTGAAATCAGCCTGCAGCAACAGTGTTTGTGAAGGCACTTTGTAAACTGTAATGCATTACTGGTGGTTGAAAAATTAAAAAGTGAACCTCCTACCACTAAAACAACAGCACTTTCTGAATAGAAGTCTTCCCATATTTAAAAATACAAAAATCGTTAGGTACAAAAAATACAAAATACCGTGCTCAGACTGAATACATAAGCAGCAGTAATAAAATGTGTTTTCCGCTGGTATTCCTGGCAGAATCCGTTATGTGCAGTAATTGCAGCAATAATCAATAAGCTAACTGAGTAAAAGATTAATCAGTTTTGTGATTGCTAATGGAATCTCCAGTACCAGACTCAGATTAGTTTCAGAGTCCCTCTGAGATGTTCTTCAAAATCCTTAAACAATTTTAATAAGGATGTGACAAAGTTTAGCACAGTTATCCAAAAATCTAATTAATTTGAAACAGAGGGCCAGATTCAATGAGGGGATAGCAAGTACAATTCTTGGCTTGTTTTGTTTGCAAGTTTATCAGTGTTCCTATTTGTTATGAACCTAATTCTAATTCTAACAGCACAATTCAATCAATAATTACATTTTTTTCTTCATGGAAATCTGCCATATAAAAAACTTGAGTTCTAAAACAGCACAGTTTAATTTTACAAGGTACCAGTTCTCTATTAAGAGAGAAAAGAGAGACAGAGAGATACACACACACACACACACACACACAACTACTTACTACCTACTGTGTACTAGGCTCACTACTAGCTATTTATGTTTATTCACTTAATTTCTCACAATCCTATCCTATTCTGCAAGTATAATTCACAGATGAAGCAAACAGTTTATCAGTGAACCAAAAAAAAAAAAAAATACTTCTTTCATTCTAGTTCTTGTACTCAGAACATAACTCTTTAAGAGTCAAAAGGTAAGTTATCTCTTATTTCTCAGACCTCAAAACATTTAAATAAACCAGGCTACTGGGCAGCCTGCTGAGCTGGTGGGAGCGTGGCTTCTTCAGTCAGACCCTGTGTGGGTTAGGCCATGTCACCGATCTTTCACAGACTAGGGACGCATGGCACCGCACTGATGGGTGACCTTCCCCCTCCTTCTTCAGCGCCCCCCTCTGGTTTTCCTCCTCCCTCCCTGACCACTCTACGCAGTTTCCTGTAAGTGGTTGTTTCCTCACCCCTTCTTTAAATGTTGGAGCTCCCCATGGTTTTTCATCAACCTTCTCTTCTTATTTTATACTCTCCTTGAGTTAACTTCAGCCACTTCAAAGGTTTCAATTACCAGAGGAGTAATTGAGACTAATTAGGAGCTGATGAATCACAAATCTTTATTTCCAGCCCAGATTTCTCTCCTAAGATTCGGAACATACCCAACTGGTTGTCCAGAGGCCCCTCAAATTCAACAGGTTTCTACCTCTCTCACCCCTCCCTCATGCCCTAGACCCATCTTCCGCCACCCGGGCTCACTGTTTCAGTGAATGACATCACAATGACCTAGTTTCCCAAGCCAGAGAGCTGGAAGGACGCCAAACCACTCTTCCCTTCTTTCCCACACTCAGCCAATCACCAGTTTTATTAACTCTACATTTTTCCAGCTTCTCAATTCCTTCAAGCTAGGGCCCTCCATGATATAGTCCACCTTCCTTCCCAACCCCATCTCATACCCTCTCCTGCCCCCCTGTCCATACCGCACTGAATCACAGGGAGCTCCTCCTGAACGCACCAGTCATCTTTACACCAGAGCTTTGACATACTGTTCTCTCTGCCCAAAACATCCTTCCCAGTCCCTTTGTCCTACCTTATTCCATCT